TTTGCCTAAGGCCCTGATGGGGCGGCCGCCTGCTGCGTGACCAGCCTGTGCCATGGAATTCAAGCCTCTCGCACTCATGACCCCGCCACCCCACCTGTCATCCAGAAGAGAGTAGAGAAGCCCTAGGCCCAGAGGCCCCCTCGCCAGACGCTTGGCTGAGACGACCTCCACGTGCTGCGAGCTCCTACGGGGAGCCCTTTGTGGCCCTCGGCTCTGGAGCAAACTCTCATGTTTGGCCTCGATGCCAGGGCAAAGCCAGGAAGACCAGCAGACACGGGGCACTTCTGGGGTCAGAAAGACGCGCACCTCCTCCCCCAGAGATGGGGCGACGGCAGATCCCAGCAGGGCAGCTGAACCTCAGTGGGGCCCAGGTCTGTGTGGGGACAGAGCTGGTGGGGAGCTGGGACAGCCCCGGGCTTCTTCCCCAGAGGAGTGGCTGAGGGGGTCACAGAGAGGGTGGGGATCTGTGCATGGGACAGGCCCAGGGTGGGGGCAGACAACACCTGGGGGTCTGAGGGTGCAGGGGAAGTCAGCAGAAAGCCAGAGATGGAAGCAGAGGGAGGTGCTGGAAAGACCAGAGCTGGGGGCCTGCAAACCATCCCTGGACCCGAGGGGGTCGCCACCTGGAGGCCTGCAAACCAGCACCAGGCCTGAGGGGGTCCCCCAGCTGGGGGCCTGCAAATCAGCTCCGGGCACGAGGGGTCCCCCAGCTGTGGACCTGGAGCCCCGCTGGCAGCATCCCAGGCTCCGTCCACTGTCTGGAGCCGTCTGCGCACCTCAGGCCTCCCGAGCAGGGAGGATGAGAGTGAGGGGCTGTATGTAGCTGTGAGCATGCAGAACCGGGGCCTCCACACCACTGCCTGAAAAGCAAGCGGATGAGACAACAAGGGCATCTCGTGTTTGGTTTCCACGGGCACCTGACGGGCTCGCCTTCCCGCACAGCTGCTCTGACATCAGGGTAGCCAACGCCTCCCGGGGCCGCGGGGAAGCATTTCAGAGTCGGGGCTGCCCCCAACCTCCACGCAGAGTGGCACGCATGGTGGGCACGCCCTGTGATGAGCCCTTATCAGAGCGCGACGCCTCCCATTAACACAGCAGTCTCCCTCCTGCGGCTGGACTGGTTTGGGGGCCAAACATTAGTGGGAACGAGGCCTGGACCTGGGCCCTGCCTGGCCTGTAGAGACCACAGCCACGCCCCGAAGACCGGCTCTCGCTGCTCACGCGGAGCCACTCGCAGCCAAGGGGCGCGGGCACATGACTGTCGGGTTGGAAGTTGTTTCTGAAAATACCCCTGACACCGTCCAAATGAAGCAGGGCGCCCGCCTCCACGGCCACGCTGCCTGTTCTAGAAACTGCGTTTATGCCTCTCCTGAGTGTGGCGCTCCGCAAAGTTCCCAGGCCCAGCCCCGTCCCCGGGGGCCTGGGCTCCAAAGCCTCCTTCCCACGCGGGTCAAGGGGCTGCAGGCTTCCCCGGGCAGGACCTGAGCTCAGAGCTGAGAGCCCACTCTGCCCAGGGCCCGCCGTGCCCTCCCGCGGGGATTCTTTCGCAGCCACACGCACCTCCCCCCGGTGACAGGGCCGTCCCCCTCAAGGCACAACCTGCCACAGGGCAGTCACCAGCTCGGAGCACGGGAGTGTGCACACACTCCACACACACACCACAGTGCACACACGGACCACACTAAGACCAGTCATAGACTTACACACACACCACGGTGCACACACTCCACACACACACACCACAGTGCACACACGGACCACACTCAGGCCAGTCAGACTTACACACACACCACGGTTCACAACTCCACGCACACACACCACAGTGCACACACTCCACACACACACACACCACGGTGCACACACTCCACACGCACACACCACAGTTCACAAATCCACGCACACACACCACAGTGCACACACTCCACACACACACACCAGGGTGCACACACTCCACACACACACACCAGGGTGCACACACTCCACACGCACACACCACAGTGCACACACGGACCACACATAGGCCAGCCACAGACTTACACACACCACAGTACACACATGCTCACCACACACAGACCAGCCACAGATGTACAAACACACCCCACGGTACACACACTCACCACACACGCAGTGTTGCATCCCACATACTTTTATACCATGTTTTGTTTCTATTCACTTCTCATCTCATTGCAGCTTCCTTTGGAAAGTCTCCCTTGACCCATGGACTACGCAGAGGAGTGTGTGCTCGCTTCCACATGGCCTGTTGTCTTTCTGTGGCTGGCTCGTAGTTCGGTGCCATTACAGCCAGACGCCCCCACCTGAGCTCCTGCAAGAGACCCCGAGGGAGGGCCGGCTGCCCCGACACCAGCCACCACTCCGGGGAGGCCATCGGAAGGCTGGATTCTGGCCCTGGGCTCAGGAAAGCAGGGTGGCCTGCACCCAGCCCTGTGCCCGCTGACGCCCCGGCCTCCTCCCGAGCGCCCCGCAGGCCCCTCCTCTTCAGAGCACAGACTCGGGGACCAGGAGCCTGGTCTCCCACCTGAGGCCAGGGCCTCTGCCTTTGCCCAGCGGCCTCTGCACAGGCCAGGAATCCCCAGTCCACTCTTGAGTCCCACGAGCTCACGAAGGCCCTACTCTGCAGGAGGACACGCCGGGTGGGGGCCAGCTGATGACAAGGTGCCATCTTGGTGAATCTCCAACCCTCCAGAGCCTGACCCCCTCCCTGGAAAAGAGGGCAACTGCACCTCGTGGGTCCCCGTGAGGAGCATGTGGGACAAATCCCCTAGAGACTGCGTTTCACCCCAGGGCTGTGGGCAGCCCATGGGCTTAGGGCCTCCCCTCCCCTTGCCAGCCCCTCCAAGGACTGGACCATGCCCAGCCCCAGCTTGGCAGCACCCCAGGCCGGGCAGTGGGCCCCACGGCCATGCTGACTCCCAGGATAGAGAGGGCCAATGCTCCCCGGGGCCCCGGAGATGGGGTGGAGCTGTTACCTCCTCCAGGAGGGACCCAGGAAAGGGCTCTCTGCCCCCTCCTGGCCCTCCTGTCTGCTGCCTGTGCCCCCGGAGCAGAGCCTGTGGAACCAGGGGGCCTGGGACCCACGGTGGGCCCAGGACAGGCAGGCAGGCGGGCCTGTGGTGGAGGAGACCCTGACCGGACCCCCACTCTGGAGCCCTCCGCAGTCTCTGGAGCTCAGAGGTCTCCCTTCTGCCCTCAAGTAACATTTAATTAGCGCCCAGTGGCCTGTAGTTTCACACCCCCTGCTCAGTCACAGGACAGAGGCTGTGGAGGCACCATGGCTGCGTCTCAGCCTGACTGGAGACCCCGAGGCCGAGGGTGGGAGGGGGGCACCGGTTCTGAGCTGCCGGGGTCTCCGAGGGCAGGAGGCGGCACCCGGCTCTGAACCACCGGGGTCTCCAGGGTGTCTAGATGAGGGAACAGGGCCCCACACGGCGTGTGCCTGCCCTCCTGGCGGGCCCCGCTGGGAGTCACGGCTCCCCCAGCCACCCTGTCTTTCTGCTGCCCTGGACAGCAGGCACCCGAGCACCTGGGCACCCAGTCCCCCTTCCAGAGGCCCCAGCAACCACCCTGGGATGGAGGGCTCCGGCCGGCGAGAAAATCTGCTCTACACGGAACAATCCCACACGCCGGGTGGGACACACAGGAGCACACAACGCCACACCCACACACACACCACACGGACCTACCCCCACCACACCCACTCACATGTGCCTGCACATCACACACACACACACACACACATGTGCCCGCGTGCCCCAGGTGGACACCGCGTGACCCTGCACACGCTGAAAGTCTCCTGGTGACCCCGTCTTACTCTCACTGTCGAATCCTGCTCAGAGAAGTGCAACGAGAAGTTGTGTTTTCGTATAAAATTCAAAATCAGAAGATGTGCGTGTTTCTGGCGTGTCCCAGGCCTGTGAAGCGCAGGGTCATTAGCGCACTGCCTCAATTACCGAGGCTGCACCGGTGGGTCTGACATGACAAATAGCGGTTATTACAGCCACTATGGATTGTCAGCGATTAGCAGAGAAACTGGTATATTACCCTAATTTAATTATCCCACCATCTGATGTTTATGATGATCACTAACAGTACTTATTTCTGAAATGAAATGTGCTGTTCTCTAATTGTTCACAGTTCGAAAGGAACAGCCAGAGAACACTTCCCACCATTAAGGAAATGATATTTTAAATGATGAACATACTGTGTATGTTTGTACTTTAAGAAAACAGACTCTGGTAATGTCTAGGGAAATTAGTGCGAATTTACTGATTCTCAGAACAAAAAGAGTTGTCTGGTACTGCCAAGGGGAGCCTGCGGGACCCCCAGGGAGAAGGGGCTCGGCTCCGAGCAGCTCCGAATAGCCTGGGGTCACAGACCCAGCCAGACCCCTCCCCACCAGTGGGGCACACCTTCCGTACCCCACTCCTCTGATTTTGCCGACTCGGTCCTGAGAGCGCGGGTGTGGGAACCAGGGAAGCTGTGGGTGAGCTCACAGCACAGGGCTGCCCCCCGACCAGAGGTTCCCCCTCCCTGATCAGCCCCCGGAGTGCACGCGGCTAGCCAGAGTCTTCAGGAGCCTGCTGGCCTCCAGAAAAGCTGGGGACCTCTGAGCGGGCCAAGAGCCAGGGCCTGCTGGCCGAGGACAGCCCAGAGCCCCAGGCCCGACCCTGCCTCTCTGGGCCCCAGTAAGCGCTCAGAGCCCCAGGCCCGACCCTGCCTCTCTGGGCCCAGTAAGCACTCAGCCGGGGCCCAGTGCCTCGGGGGCGCTGGTGCACCTGGGCAGGGTGGAGGGAGTGGGACCCTGGCGACCAGCATACTGAGTGCGCGCCCGCAGCGCTCAGGAGCCAGGGCCGGCACGCAGGGGAAAGCCGGGCCAGGAAGGCCCAAGAAGGCCCAGCAACCTGACTGACCCCTCCCGGGGGCTCCAGACCCTACATCACGAGAGAACGGAGGCCCAGAGGCTGCGGTCGTCCCATCCCAGGTCAATGGGTGTCCTGGGCCAAGGACACAGACTTGAGGGACCGGCCACACGAGCTCCGGGGCCCACGAGGGTGAGAGAGTGTCGAGCAGAGCCTGGAGGAGACTGGAGCTCCTAGAGACGGGATGTCACTGAGCTGTGGCCCCAGGAGCCGCAGGCAGAGAGAGACAGCCGGCACAGCCTCGGTGGCCCCCTGACGGAGGCGCAGACAGGAGCCAGCCCTGCTGTGAGGGCCCCCATGATGCGCCCCTCATCTGCCGTCTGATTCTGAAGCTAGGAGATGATTACAGATGGACCGTGTGTGGCCAGGCTGGGCGCTGGGGTTCCTGAAAGACCGAGGGCAGAAGGGGGCTGGCATCAGGGACCCAGGATCGTCTTCTCTGCCCCGCCGCCCTGAGAGCTCAACCCCGCCGCACTGTCAATGGTCTCTGAGCCAGGGTCTCTAAACCACCCTTGGTCTCCCCGGAGCTTCCAGCTGCCTCCCTGCCCCTCCGTCACCCCCAGATCCAGCTCTCCCCCACCTGCAGCTGCACCCCGCCTCCCCTGGGGCTGATTGCTTAGGCATGGGAGCTGGGGGCGGCAGACAGCCTGGCCACTTCCAGGTCGCAGCAGGCCACCCCCTCTCCTGGCTCCTGGGGGCTTCTCTGTCTCCCTGTCCCTTCCCTTCACCCTCTGGCTTCCTCCTCACCTGGAGAAAATCCCTGACAGCCTCCAGACGGAGGCACGGGGAGGGGCGTTTCTAGAGTCCTGTGTGACGGAAAATGTCTTTGCTTTGGCAAGCTCTCCTGATGAAGCGATTGTATAGGTTTGCTCAGACCTGAAAGGCACCTGCCTTGGTTTTAGCCCCAGTTAGAGGTCTGACGCGGCCTGACTCCAGCCCCTCTGAGCACAGTCGGTCTCTCTGTCTCTGTCTCTCCCTGTCTCTGTCTATGTCTCTCTGTCTCTCTCTGTGTCTCTCTGTATTTCTCTCTGTCTCTCCTGTCTCTCGTGCTCCACAGGTTCAGAGTCCAGGTGTTATTTCATCTGCTCCCCGTGGGGCTCCGTGGGCCTCCCTTCAGAAAGAGAGCCTCCCTCCGACAACTCTGCCCCCATTATTTCCATCCACTCTGCTTCTTGTTTTCTCCTGTTCATCCATCCTCTGAAATCCCTAGAGCCTTTGTCTTTCTCTGAGTCGCAGGAGAGGCCTTCCTGTGCCTGGCAGTCCCCTCACTGAGTGGTGAGCGCTCATGACGACGTGCGTCTGGATGAGTCTCCCTGGGCAGGAGCGGAGGGAAAGAGGCCTTTCCAGCGCCCGGGGAGGGGCTGGGGCTGCAGGAAGGCAGTCCTGCGAACGGAGGGTGGCAAGCAGACCCGGGTGTGTGTTGAGAGAATCAACAGCGCTTGCGGGTGGGTGATCTGGGAGGAGGGAAGGATAAGGAAGAATCGAAAAATACTCCAAGCTTTGGCCCTTGGCCATTCAATGAATAATTTGCTCTTCTCTGGCTAAGAAAGACTGGGGGGAAATTAGGATTGGGGCGGGGGGCGGGGTGGGGAGGAGCATCGAGATGCCCTTCGGGCCACATTTTGTCTGAGATCCAGGTCTGCCTTCAAGGTGCAGGTCGGCCAGGCGTACAGGACGGGAATGTAAGGGGGAGGCCTAGGGCTGGAAAGGTGGGGAGACAGCAGTCCAGAGAGTGGTTCAGGCCAGAAGTTCAGGTTCAACCATGCCTGCCGCTCTGATGTCCGAGGGAGACAAGAGGGCCCAGTCCCAAGTCCCGTCCCCACACGCCTCTGTGAGCGAGCCCCCAAACCCCTCCTCACCCAGGGGAGCGCTGGGTGCCGGCTTACCCCTGAGCCGTGAGCTGCAGCTTCCTGCCGGACGGCAGGGCAGGCCACCCCCTCCTCCCACGGGGCCGGGGCCACCCTCTCTGGACACCGAAGGCCTCTGGCCACCCCTCTGTCCCCAGTGCACCGGCTCTCCCTGCAGAGCCGCGTTTGCATGGCATCAGCGTCTGGGGCCCCGTGTTCACTGTCCCTGGCGAGGTCCCGAGAGCAGAGGCCCCGGGGGGCGGCCCCGCCAGCTCCTTTGTCCCGGGCTGCCTCCCCCCACTGCGCCCCGAGCCTGCCCGCCGGCCATCTGGGAACCTCTCTTATCACACTGACGCCCGCGACAGCTGTTTCCAGAAACGCGTCTCTCCCTGCAATGGACTAGGGTCTTTCTGCTGGGGATCCATCAGGTCTGTGTCCAGGGTGGAAGGCAGGCACCCCCTCCCGAGCCACAGCCATCCCTCACGGGGCCCCGTCCCCGCCCCACGCCCCCGTGGTATCTCCCCCTCTGCAGTCACCGCTGCCATCTCCCGGGTTTAACACGTCCTGCCGGCGCCCCCAGGTGCCTCGAGCACCAAGCCTGCATCCTGGGCCTTCCCGAGTGCTGGCACGGGCGGCCGGGGGTCACTGCCGGCCAGGCCGGGCCCCTCATCTCTGCTTTGTGTCCAGGCACGATGTAAATAGAAACATATCCTGTCCGAAGATAAACGTGTTCATTTTCTCAAATACTTTTTGCTTCCTTGGGATGCGCCCTTTTTCTATGTAAGAAAAAAGCAAATAAATTATTTATCTTCTTCCCCAGATGTCCTGACAATGTCTAATTAAACTGCCACTTAGGGAGAAAAGGCTTTGAACACTTTCCTTGTGACTTAGGGAGTGGTCGACTATATAAATGAGTTAGGAGTGGTCGACTATATAAATGAGTTAGGGAATACAGTGATGACAGGAGAACAAAGCCAGCTTCTCATAGGAGCAGAGTGGTCCTGGGGCGGATGGACAAAGGTGGGTCGGAGACAGGGTCTCGGGGTGCAGTTACAGTGGGGGTGCAGACAGCCCCCTATAGCCAGGGCACTCACTGTCTTCCAACAGCTGAGGGGACCCCTCAGGAGGAACCCCAGAGCGTCGCAGGACTGCTGGAGCCAATAGAGACCCCACTGCCCACTGCCCACCATCCCGAATCCCGAGTCAGAATCCAAGCTCAGGAAAGCCTCAGATATTCTGGGTTTGAATTTCGTTGGTGGATTCTGCTGTCAGCAGCTTCAGAAAACCAGCTCTTGAAGGTGGGGCCTTTTCCCAAGGACCAGACACTAAGTATTTTCGGCTCAGCGGGCCCCAGCCGCTTGCGAGGTGACCGCGTCCCAAAGAGACTGGTGAGAAAGCAGGCGGCGGCCCCCGAGCTCAGCACGCTGACCCCTCTCCTGGGACGGCGCTTCTAGATGCAGACGAGGGAGGAGCGCGCAGAAGGCCAAGGATGAGGCCAGATGCGGACGCTCGGTCCTCAGCATGGCGTCAGCAGCCTTCCTATGAAGCTACAATCCTGTCTTCATGCAGACAAAGAGCCAGCAACACGACCTTAATAACAAAGCACATTTATCAATTAAACATACACCAGAGACAACGGTGACAAAATTCAAATGAAAAACGTCACCAACTGGAATAGACAAAGCTCTTCTCCTGACATTTCACGGCCACGTGGGGACCCAGTTCCTCCACTTCCTTCCAGCTACACTTGTCCATGAGGAGGCCTCGGCCAGCACACGGCTTCTACTCGGCGAGCACGTCATGGGCACGTGGGGCGTGTGCATGTTCCGGGCACAGGGGCTCTCGGCCACGAGAGAGCAGAGCTCCAGCACCTCGCCGCCCCAGAGTAGATGGGAGCGGGTGTGAATGGGTTGTGTATGAGTGTGTGTTTGCACGTTAGCATATGTGTGTTGTGTGTGTGAATTGTGTGTGGTGTGTGCGTGTCTATCACGTGTATGTTCTGTTTGTGCGTGTGTGCACAGATATTTGTTGTGTGTGTGTGTGTTTGCATGTGAAGCATATGTATGTTGTGGTGTGTGCATGTATATTGTGTGTGTGCATATGTGCAGATATTTGCGTTGCCATCCACATGAAAACAAAACTGCTTCACTCTCCACAGAGAAGATCACCCCCCTCTGACCACAACCCCGGGCCGGTGTGGGGACTCCTACAGAAAGTCACTCCTGGGGCCCGTCCTGGTCAGACTGGCAACGCCGCCCTCTGGTGTGGACGTGGATGGGATGTCGGGAAGGCCAGGGTGCGGGTGACAGTTGGGGCCCCGGTCGGGGTGACGGGCACTGGCTGGAAGGACCTGCATGGCCTCGAGGCCCAGACACAGCAGCACCTCCTCCCGGGCGGACGGGCCCCTGGCGCCCTCCTCATTCATTCCCACCCCAGCTCCCTCCTGCGGCTCTGGGGGCAAAGCCAGATAAGACTCAAAACCCAGGACCCAGGTCAGACCAAGTGCAGAGCAAGGCCGGCGGCCCTCCTCGCTCCCGGGACCCCAGTTTCCCACTTCGGGGCCGTGAGTCCCCGAGCTGGAGGCCGAGCCGGACAGGGGTGCCCCCTTCTCCCCAGAAGCCTGGCCCTGAGGTCACAGCCAGGCCACCTGACCTTGCAGCTGCTCCTGTGACCTCGGTCCAACATCATAACCCCTACTTCTCTTCCTCAAAGTGGGGACGGCGCCCAGGCTGGTGACCCCCCGCCCCGGGCCACCCACCCTGTGCCCTGAGTACACGGAGCGTGGGCTCCACGCGGCGGTCAGCTCCAGGCTGCACTGCGTGGGGCTAAGACGGGGTCTGCAGCTCTGCTGCCCCCCGGCCCTCTCAGCTCCAGAGCTATGGGTCCCCAGCAAGGGACACTCCTGTCCCCCTCCACTGAAACCTGCTCACAGCAGCACTTGGAACATATTGCGATGAAAGAGGGAAGGATTCCGCAAGAACCAGGATCTCCCGCGTTGGCTCGGGAGGCCCACACGCACGCTTCCAGCCAGGGGGACACCGAGGGACATCAGAGAGAGGAGCCCAGGGCGGGAGCCCCGGGGGACAAGCGGCGGAGAAGACTGGCGTCACGGACCATGAAGCCCTTTGTGTCGTGATGGGTGTAGCCCCCTGCCCCTCCCTCCGGGCCCATCAGGGTGTCTGAGCTGCACTTGGAGCCTCCTGGGTCCCCGGATCCTAGGACACCAGGAACACGGGACCAGGTCCGGCAGCCGGACCTCCAGCAGAGGCGGAGCCGCTGGGGAGGAAGAGGCTGGGATGGGGCTGGGCAGAGCGGGGCCCCCGGCCGGATGGCCTCTCAGAGCAGCGTCCTCCCTGCCTGGGTCCCCTCTGCATCACGCCCAACAGGAAGGGGCGAGGAGCCCGGGAACACAGGAAAAGGGGCAGAAGGCTCCGTTCAGCGTCCAAGCTCTGAAGCGGCTGCAGGGAAAAGCGGCTCACCCCGTGTGATGTCCCCAAGAAGGGAGTCCTCTCATAAATAAAATAGTGGGCACCGTCTCCAGACAGCTTTTATTATTGGCTTAATTTGTCTTCCCTGATAAAGATGTAGATATCTGATGCCCGTCACCTAGAGACTCGGTTATGGTCATCACCCCCGGCTCGCTGGCTGCCGACAGAAGCACGTGGGCGGGGGTCTGCCCTCCCCTCCCCCTGGACCGGGGCCCCTGCAGTGCAAGGGGCAGTCCCATCAGGTGAGAGCTGACACCGCCGGGGAGCAGCTCACCTGTTCCCCGTCTCAGAGTTGGACCCCCTTGGGGTGAAAACTGAGAAGGGGGCCGTCACGCAGACCTGGTCCTGACTGCCAACCCCCACTTTGTTGCCCACTTAAGCATCATCCATGGAGGTGACTCTTGCAAAGAAAATTAAAATCACAGCAGTTAAAACCCAAAAGCAAACCACAGACGGCCCATCACCGTTGTAGTAGAAGTGCCAGCAGGGCCATAAAGTTTCCTAGATGTGGAGCCTCTGATTATTGCGGGGGAGGAGCTAAAGTTATCATGATTTGTCGATGCAATGATGGTGTGCCAAGAAGAATCAAGAAAGTCAGAGGAAAACCTACGAGAGTTCATAAAAGAGTTCCGTAAAGTTGTTGAAAACACGACCACTTAAATAAATCAATAGTTATTCTGTGTCAGAGCTTAACCAGGCAGGAGGGAAGTACCCCGATCCCTTCCGTTATAGTGGTAGAAAATATGCATTTTTGATAGGGTTGCTTCTATAAAACTGAGACATTTGTTTGTCAGAAAATCATAGAAGCTTACTGAGACATCTGAAAGAAAAACAATAGAGGCACACCATGGGTGGTAGAATAATGCCCCCCAAATATACACCTCCTGATCCCCAGAACTTGTGAGTCTGTGAACTTCAGTGACAAAGGGACTCGGCAAATGTGATGAAGTCAAGGACCTGGAGATAAGAGGTTATCTTCAGTCATTACAGGGTCCCCTGGGTGGGCCCATGTCATCACAGAGTCACCTGGGTGGGCCTCATGTCATCACAGGGTCACCTGGGGGGGCCTTGTGTCATCACAGGGTCACCTGGGGGGGCCTTGTGTCATCACAGGGTCACCTGGGGGGGCCTCATGTCATCACAGGGTCACCTGGGGGGGCCTCATGTCATCACAGGGCCACCTAGGTGGGCCCAGGTCATCACAGGGTCACCTGGATGGGCCCCGTGTCATCACAGGGTCACCTGGTGGGCCCAGGTCACCACAGGGTCACCTGGATGGGCCTCATGTCATCACAGGGTCACCTTGGTGGGCCTAGGTCATCACAGGGTCACCTGGGTGGGCCTCATGTCACCACAGGGTCACCTGGGTGGGCTTCATGTTATTACAGGGTCACCTGGGGGGGGCCTCATGTCACCACAGGGTCACCTGGATGGGCCCCATGTCATCACAGGGTCACCTGGGGGGGCCACGTGTCATCACAGGGTCACCTGGATGGGCCCCATGTCATCACAGGGTCACCTGGGGGGGTCTCGTGTCATCACAGGGTCAACTGGGGGGACCTCGTGTCATCACAGGGTCACCTGGTGGGGCCTGTGTCATCACAGGGTCACCTGGGTGGGCCTTGTGTCATCACAGGGCCACCTGGGTGGGCCCAGGTCATCATAGGGTCACCTGGATGGGCCCCCTGTCATCACAGGGTCACC